CTACAAGCCTGATCCAAGAACTTTGCAATTGTTGTATGTATTTGATTCCTTTAACCAATTTTAACTCACCTTTCTTTCTATAAATAAACCTTTAGATTTTAGATACTAAAGGATTGGCAACAGCATGATTATTGGGTAAGATCTGAGTTATATATTGACTTAGGTGTGTGGATGGTCCTTTGGGATCAGAAGAACCCTTTTCTTTGATGAAACTGGTTTTAAAGAACCAGTCATCATTAAGTCTAGTGTTTTTGGTGGTGATACAAGGACTGGAATGCCTAAGGCGACTGCTTTTCTGACTTGTTTGCCAGTGTGGTGAAACAGAAGTTTACTTTTGTTGCTGGTTTGGTAGAACTTATGGGAGACTAGCCACCAGTTTTGGGGGTGTCTGCTCTATTTCTCTGCAGTTTGTTCTGAATTTTGTATTCTCAGTTGTGACCCACAGAGGCACAGTGAAACTCACTCCTTTGACAGGTTTGCTGGTGAGATTGCCCTGTAATTGGGGTTCTCAGATCTCTGCCTCTATTTGTCTGCCTGGTTAGGGAGACTGTCCTATAATTGGGGTTTATGTTTCTTGCTATCAGTTTGATTGTTTAGTGAGAGAGACTGGTTTGCGATTAACCATGAGGTCTCTCCCCTTTTTTCTCTTGGCAACAAGAGGGGTGAAACACTATGACAGAACAGTGTGAGTGAAACTTATTCTGTCAATGCTCAGGCAGTACCCCTTCTGTGGGTGTCATAAATATAAAGGGAAGGGTAAACCCCTTTAAAATCCCTCCTGGTCAGAGGAAAAATCCTCTCACCTGTAAAGGGTTAAGAAGCTAGGATAACCTTGTTGGCACCTGACCAAAATGACCAATGAGGAGACAAGATACTTTCAAAAGCTGGGGGAGGGAAAAACAAATCTGTCTGCTCTCACTCCCATCTCTGCACCTTTTATCTGTCCCCCCTATTTAATTGACTTCTGATTCCTGGCGGTCCCCTCCTCTCTGAAGGGGAGGTCATTCATGTTTCTGTAATTAGTTCACCTTGGAGGCCCCACCTCTCCGAGAAACTAAAATGGACGGCCACATTTCTCCAGCACTTCATTCACACAATATTTTAATTCTTTACTGTAATTTGCTTTTTAAAAGTCAATAATAAAGTGTATATTGTACCTCCACAGCCAACAAATCAAGAATGCTATTGTGATAAAATACAGAAAAATTTGTGGATCATGTCCTAATACAAAGAATGCACTCCAACACTGACTTTTATCATTCATTCTTTACCAATCACTATCACAAATAAGACTGGTTTTAAAAAATGGTGATACTCTCTCAGTGTCCGCCTACAACCCAAGATGTACCCACTCATTATACCAAAATAAAGTGTAATTCAGAGAAGATTGTGCTATCTTCATAATATGGTTATCCATTGCTTGTCTTGTATGCTTTGAGCATGAGCAAAATATTTTTAAATGATATTTAAATGGTCATGGGGCTTCAGAGACAACACTCATTGGCAATGAAGACACAGTTTCTACCTCACTTAGTGCTACTGCTTCATGCTGCCTTCTTTTGGAACAAGATGCAGCCACCAGAGAAAAATATCAATTCATTGCATCACCACCAATGAAGCCAATCTAATCTCTGATCACAATAGCATTTCATAATCACTGCCACCCTTGTGCTCTCAAGATATTTGGTCTTGCTGCTAATGGTTAGTGTTCTGGAGTTGTGTCCCAGGTGCCACTTGGGGCCATCTGGCAGGGGGCTCGAGATACCACACCCAGGGATCCCTTAAATGTGCATGTATCTACATCCTAGTTTGCCAAAGAATGCCATGTAAGGTCTCTGCTGCAAGCCTGTGTTACACTGGACTTCATAATCATTGCAAAATGTATGTATGCATAATATGTCAGGAGTTATGCACATAAACTGAAAATTATGTTAAGGTCTGTGACTTGGAGCTGCTCACCAAAAGGTTAGACTCAAATTAGAGAGGGATTTTTTGTTTGCAAGTAAGCACTCATTGTGAAGTGTATAATAGTCAATTTACATGTAGACAGTCTGAGCACAGTGCTAATCAAGTGATTGTGAAGTCTCCAGGGGGGATTATACACAGAAAAAAAACAAGCAGTGGGGGTTAGCCTGTTTGCAAATGGAAACAATGTATGTTTGGGATTATAACTGCAAGCTGAGTCTCTGTACCTACATCTTTTACCTAGGAAGTAAGCTGACAACGGTTTGCTTCATGATAGGAAGATCACAGGTACGCCTGGCTGTAATACAATGGAAAGATTTTGGGTGAGCTTTTGCTCTGTATGACCTGACAAAGTCTTGTTCATTAAGTTTAGGCTCTAGTATGAGTATTATGATTTTATTTTATATTTAACCCTTTGTTTCTAATGTTTTTGCTTGCTGTCATTTGAAATTGCTGTTCTTGGTTAGATTTATTTAGAGAGAAAACAAATAAGTTTGTGTGTGTCAAGCAGAGCTGTGTTCTATGGTGCAACTGGTAAGCTGTGGTGTACTGTTCCCTTGGGCACAGAAGATGTGAGTTCTATGACTGTCCTGGGAATCAGACGCTGGACATTCCAGGGAGATGCTCAGAGGACTCGGGTTAGAGTGTGCCTATCATTAACCTATAAAGGGAAAGCGGGCCCACAGCAACCTGGAAAGCAGCACTTGTGTTTCCAGAGGCTGGGGGTGTTGAGGAACTGACCCACAGTAGGCACAGATAAGGCTTCCTCACACTAAGAGCAGGGTGTAGCCAAGAGTGCCATGCAGAAAACCCAAATTTATCTCCCAGTTCCTGTCTGTCAGTCTCTGGCTAGCAGTAAATGGGAATACACCAGACGCAGGATGTCTAGCCACAAGGTAAAATATACTTTGTTGCACACACAACAGTAAAATGTTCAAGCTAATGGACTATGTCTTTTCTGCCCCCCCCCTTTGTTTTTTAAAAAAAATATAAAGCAAAAGACTGATTTTCCCCAGGAAAATTCAGCATAGGCACTGACAGTACAAGCTTCTTAATCTTGCTCCATAAATGTGTCTTAACGATCACCTGCATCTCTACAGCTTGTCTACACTTGGAAATTGTACAGTTTCTGAACACTGTTGGCAGTAGCCATGTTAGCTGAATGAGGGCTGAACAGAGTTTGGGAGTCAATATACTACAAATTGTGTTCAGTGACCTGCCAGCTAACCACTGAACTGTGTTCAGCTCCTATTCAGCTAATGTTACTGTTGACAGCTGTGTTAAGACCTGGCAAAATGTTCATATTGTAACTGGGCCTTTAAGGTGAAGGTAGTTCAGTTTCCATGCCTGGTTAATCATTAGCTTCTCTCCTAACACCACCACTAAGGGTTCCAATGAGCGCTACAGCTATGTATTCCTTTATGATATGGACACCTGTCCATTACGAAATAGATTGAGACCACCTGCTCATTTCACACAGGTCATCAAATTGCCACTCATTACTTTCATCATTACTTCAGCCAGTGGGCAGGACATGAAAGGTTTAACTTCTTATCTCCTGAGGCATCCAACAGCAGAGCTTGGTTGTTCTGAATTAAACCTGATATAGATTGCAAGAATTACAAAATACACAGTGTAGTTTGATAGCAATTAACTTGTCCTCAGACATTTCACTAAACAAATCAGCACATAAGTATGGTAATGATAATAAAGTTGCCCTAATTACCCTGACACAGTTAATAAAAAATAACAGCACTTCAGCAAAATATTTCAAGAAAGTTGGTTTCATGGTACTTTAGGTTACAAAATCGCACTAGCACAATCAATGCCAATTTTGTGGATGAAGATGTAAGAAAGAGGCAGAGACAATACTTAAAATGAAAGTCCAAAAACCAACCAGAAAAATAATTGAGACTTCAGAGAAAAAAGATAAAGCAAGGACAAAAAAATCCAAGTTGCTTTTAGAGACAATCGCATGATTTATTGTGAAACTTTAGACTAAAAAAATCCAAATATTAGTCATTTATGCTCTACAGGCATCTCCAGGCTGCTGTGTTTAAGTTATGTATGTGGGTGCCATTATCTAACTTTCCCACAGTAAGTAGATGCTTGTTCACAGCATCACCTCCTCAGAGCAACCACCACTTAGGAGCAACACGTATGTTCTTTAGAGGAGCTCCAGTTCCTTATTATTTAATCCCATGTTACAAAAAATAGGCAGAGAGCGCTGTTGCTAGATATGGTACACTACTTATTAGATGTTCTGGGCCTTATTTTTTGCATCCCTTGTCCTCCCCCCATCACTCCCCCTCCTCGCACCGTCAGAAATCTAGATTGTAAACCCCCCCGCGCAGTGACGGTCTTTTTTTTTTTGTCTGTAAAGTGCCTTATTAGGCACCACTAGTAATCTGTATAAATAAAATGAAAGCGAGCCCTGCAAGGCACCGTTGCACCACAGGCTTGCGCACACCAACCCGAACCACCCAGCATGCACATGGGTACTGAACACGCACGTGTGTCCCAAGCATATTGCCAGCCCTACGTGCGGCTCTCCGGCGAGCTCGGCCCAGGAGACCCGAGCAGCTCGCGAGCCGGGGCTGAGTCCCCGCTGGCGCGGCCTGTGTCCAAGGGGGCGAGTCGCCCCCGGCTGTGCCCGAGGAGCGGGTGGCACAAAGCGCTGGCGGGAGCGCCACGTTCCCGCACCAGCCGGCGTAGCGGCAGCTGCCACAGGCCGCCCCCACCCCCCGGGCTGCTCCTCCCCTCACGTCCCGTCCCGTCCCGTCCCGCCCCTCGCTTCTCGGCCGTCGGCCCCCGCCCCGGGTTTCGTGCTCCTGGCGGAGGCCGAGGGAGAAGGTGGCGGTGGAGGCGGTGGACGGAGAGAAAGCGCCCAGGCACCGGAGAAAAGAGGCGGCCGCTGCCCCCGCCCCCGCCCCCGGAGCGAGTCCAGCGCCGCCGCCTCCACCACCTCCTCCTTCAGCGTCTCTGCCCACCCCGCCACCTACCTCCCCCAGCAGCCGGGACAACGGAGCAGGGCGATGTCTTCCTCCGGCGGCCACCAGCACAGCCAGAGCCGGGCCATCCCCACCAGGACGGTGGCCATCAGCGACACCACGCAGCTACCTCATGACTATTGCACCACGCCCGGGGGGACCCTGTTTTCTACCACTCCTGGAGGTAAAGAGCACTCCCAGTTACCCCTGCTGGCCAGGCCCAGGCCTCCCTCCGTACACGCACCAGGCTCCGGGCTGCAGGCAACCGCTCGGGGGTCCGCGCAGCCGGCTGCGGGGAAATGTGCATGCAATTAACGGGAGGGAGAGAACAGAGATGTAGCAAAGTACGTGCAATTAGCGTTACACAGCTGACAGTTTTAATGGGGGAGGGGGAGCGTGGAAAGCGCATGCAATTAAATGGGGGAGGGGGATTAGCAGAGAAGTACATGCGAGTAATGCTACACGGGGTGCAATTGAGGGGGAGACCGTGCGGGAAAGTGCAGATGGTGATAAGCGGACTAGGCGCGACCCCCACTTTCTCTGAAGCCCTCAGGTTTATTACTCCTTGTGCGGTGGGGACCTCGTCTATAGGGTTACCTCTTTTCTGTCGTCTTCCCCGGGATCTCAAAGCAAAGGGGTATCGGCTAGTGCTACACAGGACCGGAGGCTTTGGTGGGGAGCAGAGAGAAATAGGTGTACCAGAGATCGTTGTACAAAGCGGGGAGGAGAACCTCTAGCACTAAAAGGGCCCTTTCCCCCCTCTGTATGTATTTGTAATGTTTGGTTTTTTATTCGGAAGGAAGGATGGAGGGGAGGGAAGGAGATTGTGCTGGATCTGAAGCCTAGTTGCACTGGGCCCCAGGCTCCTTCTCCCTTTTTGGTGTGGGGCTAGCAGTGAGATATTTGTAAACAAGGCCTAGGAGTCTAGGACAAGCCCGTGTCTGTTGCACAATAAGAGAGGAGAAGTAGGGGGGGAAATTCTCCAGCAGCTGCAGGAGGGAGAGAAACATGAACTCCACCGAGAACTCGGGACGCACCCCAGTGTGGAACCAGCCTCTGGCCGTTATCAAGGGGGCTTGGGATTCTTTTAGCTCTGACTAAAGAAATGCATCAGCCAGTGGAGGGCTCAGTTTAAGGAAGTGCTAACTTTGCACTGCAGACTAACATGGATGTAGACTGTGCAGCAATCTCCGTGTAGGCCTGTTCTTGGACAACAAGGCCTGTATAAACCTATTGATATGCCTGCTGCTCTTGTTGATTTTATTAGTAACAGAGCTAAATAGGAGTCAAGGCATAGGAGCACCAGATACCCTATTTGTATTTAAAAACTAAAGCTTAACCTTGTCATCTCCTCCAAGACAAGGCTGACTCATGAAATCATTCCTCCCCGCCACCCCAACTAAACATCAATTAACAGTAAATCCCATGATGTGTTATCTAGCCTAAACGTTGTGTGAATGGTAGAGTGCATACAGACAGGGTTCCTGAGCTAAATATTGACTCTGTTCCCCTGAGGGGGACCTCTTGGGGAAGCACTCACAGATATTTCAGTTGGCAAAGCTGTTTTGTTATTAAATAGCCAAACAGTCATTTCACAATAGTTTTCAAAGTCGCTTTAAAAATAGTGCCCTGGTTCCTGGCTTAGATCAGTGGTAAAATATGTGGAAAGAAATTAATAGTGGAACTCTATTGTAATTTTTGTTATGGTCAAACAGGACTATAAAACAAAAATATTCAGGGATGAGAACCTGCTGTTTTTTTGCAGTATAGTTTTCCCAAAGCCCAAACCTCTTATTTCCACTTCATTTTAGGCTCAAGATTGCTTCTATTCCTCTTAAACTGGGTGTTGTTTGCCCTTTCGTTGTTACAAATTATGCAGATTATGTGAACATGTGAGTTCCACATCATTGCTCTATCCTATTTTTCTTGTGTCCCTAACTTTTCTCTGCTGGGCATGGGCAGGTTTGTATAAACGTATGTTGATATCTGCTAGAGAAGCAGGCTTATCCTCCACTGTCTCTTGACTTCTTCCCTTGCTCGCTTTGCAGATAGCTATAAAAATGTAAACACCAGTGTGACTTTTCTGTGGCTTCCAGAAAGTAGCAAATACAGTTCTAGTGATGTGTGTATTTTACAGGCCATGTGTAATATTGCTGCATCCTCCTGTGTAATGGACTTCCATCATTGCACTTTTTCTTCCTCCATATTAGATATTTTAAAACTTTTTCTGTCTATTAAGGTATTAAGTGGGGTCTTGATTTTGTTATGGTATTTTGTGTTGGCTGGAGGTGGATTGCCATTGAAGGTCATCTGTAAATGAAAGAAAATAACTAGATTTATTAGAAGTATGTGCAGAATGTGATTAAAAAAAAGATGGATAAAAGGGACAAAATATTAATAAATGCATGTTACCTAAATACTTGTTCTGAGTCTACTGTGGGTTGTGAAATCCCTACTTGGTGTGACATTGTAGAATGTATCGTGCTGGTGGTATCAAACCTTTAAAATATTCACAAATGATGATTTTAAAAATTTTACAAAGTGATACAATTTTTGAGAAGGTTAAACGACTGGAGTATCAGACCTCACAGGCTTATATTAGTCTACAGTGGGGTTCTGTGTGTTAAGAGTAGGGTTGCAGGACTTTCTGTTCCTATTTTTCCTTAATTAGCCTACATTTTATAAATTACTCTGGGGCAAGAATACCCCATGAGAGCTTCACATCTGTACTGCTGCTACCCAGAAGCACCAGAATGAAACTGAGTAGAATCTGTTTGCTGTTCCTGCTGCAGAATTATAAACAGGAGTAAGAGAGGTACAAAGGGTGTTGGATGCTGTAGAATTTGGGGTGCAGAGGAGAGCTGAGCGAGTTTGCATTGTCTTCCCTGCACACATCCCTTTTCCTACCAGCACTGCACTTTCCCAGCAGGAGCAGCAGAATGCAGTTGACTGGAATTGTTAATTTCACTTTGCTGTCATTGCTTGTGCCTTGATGGGATTATAGAGGGATCTAAGTTCCATCTTCTCAGCCTGGCATATTCAGGGAAGAAGTAACATTTAGAATGTTTTCATTGGGCGATCCCAGAATCCTACAACAAGGAAGACGCATAGTTAAATAAATATGAGGAGAGATGCACAGAAGAAATGTGAAAGGGAATGATGAATATAAAGGGTGGGAGGAGAGAAATTTTTAATTAAATCAAAGTGGGAGTGAGGGGGAAACAAAGACAGACCTCAAAAATGAACTCCCCTACCTTTTTGAATTAAAAAAGGACTAGAAAAATCCTTCCACCTCATATGGTTTCTGCAACAAGCCACATGGAATGCTGCCCTTGGTTCAGTTGTAGGTGTGACAGTTTAGTGAGTGTTTCTGAATGAGTTGTTGATCCATACTGGGAACCTAAAAGAAGAAATAATGTTAAGTGTGAGTTAATGTGCTGAATATTCTTTTATAATAATAGTTAATATTTAGGACTTCATTAAAAGTTTACAGGGTCAAATCCATGGATGCTAGACAGTACTGATGCTAAGTTATTTTTCATACAGTTCAGATTTTCTTTCCCTCCATTCAGAGTGTTCTTGATGGGTTTATTTTAAAGCAGTATTTGAATATAAAGGTTTTGAATAAATCATTGGTAGCTACATCTTGGTGCTTTTAAATGTATCACTCATGGAAATGAAGGACATATGGCACTAGCTTGAGCCCATTGCACTACAAGCAGACAGTCTGCAAACTTCTTCGTCCCACACACTGCCAGTTAATCCAGATCTGCTTTGTCTCTGATATCCCTCTTCTAGGTCTTACAGTTGGCAGCGTCTGCTCAAGTACCAAATTGTGATGTCAAAAATATCACTGGTGCCATTGCTCTGCACTTAAAACACCTTTCATCCAAGGATCTCAAAGTACATTACAAAGATAGGAAATAGGACTGTATTATTTATCTCTATTTTACAGATTGGGCCTCAGTTTTCTTATGAGGCTAAGTGACTTGCCCAGGTTAATAAGAGATAAGTGGCAGAGTCAGGTATAGAACCAACAACATCCAGTTCCCTGCTCCTGAGAATTGTTGCCTTCTGGAAAGATGCTCCCAAAATAAAGCGTCTATGTCTATCTGAATTTTTATTGATTGTTGTTGTAAGTAATGCCTAAAATCACTATAACCGAGATTAGCGGTTGAAGGAAATCTATATTTTTAATTTATTTACTTTGCACATTCCGACAGCACTTTCTGGCCAGTCTATTTAACTGTTTCCCCGTTGCTCTGTCCTCGCTGTTGTGCAAGACCCATATTTTTTTTTATATATTAAAAGAAAAACGTGATTGTAAAACTCCTAGTATTGGTAGCTGTTAAATTTGTATTTTTTAAACTAACTTCATATTAATGGTGTCCTTTTCATAAGTAACACAGGTAAGAGTTTATCCCAGCTATCAGAAAATTAAGAGCTAGTGCAGAGCCCTCGGGAACAGAGTATTGAAGACTAGCATTTGTGAGTGTGGCTGAGGACAACTGTAGGGGACAGGGAGTGTACAAAAACAGAATCCTAGTTCAGTGCTTAGGGAGCAGCAAGAGCCGGTAGAAGCTAAGGACAGGCAACACGGAATTCTGAATGACGATGCGGAGGCTATAGCTAGGATAGATCGTCCCATTTGTACAGAGTCCATTCTGTTTTCAGAAAACAGTTGCCTGTCCTTTTGAGTTCATGGTAGTGCTTTAATTTGAAAGCCACCAACTATACCTTATCACCTGTCATGGACATTGGCTGTTTTCCCACGTTGACAGAAATTCTTATAAGAAAGAGGGGGTCCTGCCTTTAATAACTTCCTTCTGTAGACAGTTTCTGGGAATGTTTTGAATTGATCCAGTGTTTAACTCTTGCCTTCAGAGGTGCCTTTACATGTGCAGTCCTGGTGAAGGGTCCCCTTAAAAATTACCAGTTCAGAAAACAGGACTGGAGGTCCTTGCGAACTACCCTCTTTCTGGGAGGGTGCCCTTGCCTATCTTTTCATCGTTCTGTTAGTGGCAATTACTATTTCATGTTTCTCAGGAGGCTCCTTTGCTGCAAAGTGTGCTTTTTATTTCAGTTTATCACTGGAGTAATCTCTCAACACCCACAGTTTGAGAACTACTAAGGCACTGGGTGGTTGGTTTTTTTCTTTTTCTTTCCCCTCTTGAACGGAGGTAGGAAAATATTTTGTGGACTCCCGATGCCCCCTGAATCTAAGTAGCAAAATTTCTGAAGAATATTTCAGCTGGTTCCCTATTAGTAGTACATGAAATATTAAATAATATCTCCCAGAAGCCCTAATCAGGATCAGGACCCATTGCTCCTTCTTGTTGCTGTGCAAGGGGCGCGGGGGAGGAATAAAATAAGACTTCAGGTGTTCCTCTGCAATTCAAACACAAAGAGCTTTGGACAGGATACAAAATATCTTGTTGCAAAACAGCTGCCCCTGGGTAAGATGTCTGATGCTCCCCTGAGGTGTGGAATGACTGAGAGGCGCATTGCCTAGAAAAATTCTGAGTGTAACTCTCAAACATGCAACTCTGATTAGCTTTAAACTAGCAATGCGAAGGTTGTGTTTGATCCATTTAAACATTTATTTTTCTAAGGAACAGACTTGATTCACTCAGAGCTGCAAGTTGTTGCTCTGACTCACAGCTTCGTGCATATAATTTTAAATGCCTTTTCTTAGTTTACTTTTGTGTCTGTTCTGTACTGTTTAGTGGCCAGAAAAGGGATTACAAAATGGTTCTGTTGTGTTCATGCTCCTCGTGTCTTTTGAGTCATCTCCGTGTACTGTCAAAACCAAGTTTATTCCTGTCAGCTCTGCAATAAAGCTGTGGCACTGCAGAAGAGAAGTGCCTTATTTTCTTCCTTCTGTCCACCAACAGGCTGTCTAGTTCTTCTCCAGAACCTGTGTAGTGAGGGATGATCTGGGACCACAGCTTGGGTTTTTTGTACACCAGGATGATCTTGCACCACTGGCAGCTGGAAAAATCTTGTTTTGACTTGAAACTGAAAAGATCTGATCATAGAAGAAACCGATAAATACTTTAAAAGTGGGACATGACAATGACTTTTCTGACTGTAGCTTCACTTCAGATTAAAAATAGTGTTCTCTGTCTTTCTGCAGTTCTAATCTTGGAGTGAAACCTTGCACTTTACATCTTCAATCCTGACAATGTAGTTTCTGCTCTTAAATGAGTGTTCTGCCTCCTTAAATAAGGTCAGCTCCCAGACTACTGCACTGGGCAGCACAGCATGGGGAGGAGGCGACCAGCCCTTTGTGGAGATAGAGGTGGTTTGGGACTATTTAGAAAAGATGGACAAGCACAAGTCCATGGGGCCAGATGCACTGCATCTGGAAGTGCTAAAGGAATTGGCGGATGTGATTGCAGAGCCATTGGCCATTATCTTTGAAAACTCATGGCGATCGGGGGAGGTCCTGGACGACTGGAAAAAGGCTAATGTAGTGCCCATCTTTAAAAAAGGGAAGGAGGAGAATCCGGGGAACTACAGGCCAGTCAGCCTCACCTCAGTCCCTGGAAAAATCATGGAGCAGGTCCTCAAGGAATCAATTCTCAAGCACTTAGAGGAGAGGAAAGTGATAAGGAATAGACAGCATGGATTCACCAAGGGCAAGTCATGCCTGACTAATCTAATTGCCTTCTATGACGAGATAACTGACTCTGTGAATGAAGGGAAAGCAGTGGACATGTTATTCCTTGACTTTAGCAAAGCTTTTGCCATGTTCTCCCACGGTATTCTTGCCAGCAAGTTAAAGAAGTATGGGCTGGATGAATGAACTATAAGGTGGATATAAAGCTGGCTAAATCGTCAGGCTCAACGGGCAGTGATCAATGGCTCCATGTCCAGTTGGCAGCCGGTATCAAGTGGAGTGCCCCAAGGGTCAGTCCTGGGGCCGGTTTTGTTCAATATCTTCATTAATGATCTGGAGGATGACGTGGATTGCACCCTCAGCAAGATTGCAGATGACACTAAACTGGGAGGAGAGGTAGATACGCTGGAGGGTAGGGATAGGATACAGAGGGACCTAGACAAATTAGAGGATTGGGCCAAAAGAAATCTGATGAGGTTCAACAAGGACAAGTGCAGAGTCCTGCACTTAGGATGGAAGAATCCCATGCACCGCTACAGACTAGGGACCGAATGGCTAGGCAGCAGTTCTGCAGAAAAGGATCTAGGGTTACAATGGACAAGAAGCTGGATAAGAGTCAACAGTGTGCCCTTGTTGCCAAGAAGGCCAATGGCATTTTGGGCTGTATAAGTAGGGGCATTGCCAGCAGATCAAGGGATGTGATTGTTCCCTTCTATTCAACATTGGTGAGGCCTCATCTGGAGTACTGTGTTCAGTTTTGGGCCCCACACTACAAGAAGGATGTGAAAAAATTGGAAAGTGTCCAGCAAAGGGCAACAAAAATGATTAGGGGACTGGAACACATGACTTATGAGGAGAGGCTGCGGGAACTGGGATTGTTTAGTCTGCAGAAGAGAAGAATGAGGGGGGATTTGATAGCTGCTCTCAACTACCTGAGAGGGGGGGTTCCAAGGAGGATGGATCTAGACTGTTTTCAGTGGTAGCAGATGACAGAACAAGGAGTATTGGTCTCAAGTTGCAGTGGGGTAGGTTTAGGTTGGATATTAGGAGAAACTTTTTCACTAGGAGGGTGGTGAAGCAGTGGAATGCATTACCTACGGAGGTGGTGGAATCTCCTTCCTTTGAGGTTTTTAAGGTCAGGCTTGACAAAGCCCTGGCTGGGATGATTTAGTTCGGGTCCTGTTTTGAGCAGGGGGTTGGACTAGATGACCTCCAGAGGTCCCTTCCAACCCTGATATTCTATGATTCTATGAAATAGGCATCCACAGGATACAACCTGTGACTGTCTGAAACTCTTACCTCTAAGTGAGGCCCTGCTATTGGTTCTAGGATCTTTCTAGAGCAGGAAGCCTGCTCAGACAACAAGTTCTGAAGTGTGTGAGTAATATGTTTGATACTTGGGGTAGAAAGGCGAGAGAAATCTTGGAGAGGC